AACCCTTCTTCCTTCTCGGGCTCGTCACAGGCAGCGATCAATTACGAAACGTTTGGTGGCCAGATGAACGATCGAAATTGTTTCGAGCCGTTTGAGATTTATTTCGAAACAATGTGGAACATTTTTTATTCGTTGTAGGTGTACAGGGTGTCCCGCATTCTTCCGTACATAATTCGGCAATGTGTGTTTCAGATAAAAATGAGATTAAAATGTTGTAGAGGGTCGCCCATTCCAGTTGAGATTGTAAAAAATCTCGTAGACACTTCGTTAAAAATAAAACAATTTGACAGATGTGTTTTAGTATTTCGAGTCAAATGGCTATATTAGTTTCTTAATGCGTGGGCGTTTTCAAGGTTGTTTCAAGATCACCTTGATCTTTTTTATCATGAACCTACGTTTTTTATGTTGGAATCATATTCCACGTAAAAAAGTACATAACTTTGGTTCGAGACACTTTCTTGCGAGTTCAATGTTTTTTAAGATATTTAACTGACTTTTCACGTTTATGATAAGGATAATTTTGTTTCTCTGTTAAATGACAACGTCACTTTCTTCTGGACGGTATTTTATGTCACTTAAGAACATCATATTCTAAAAAAATGTTTCAAACAAAAGTTGTGCATTTTTGAACGTAGAATATGACTCCGAAATAAAAGTTTTAGGTTTATGGTAAAAAAGAACAAAATGACCTTGAAATAACCTTGAAAATACCCACGCATTAAAAAACCAGTATAGTCATTTGACTCCCCACTCGAAATATTAAAGAATATGTACCAGTTTGTTTTTTTCTAAGTCACGTGTCTACGAGATTTCTTACAATTTCAGCTTAAATGGGGCACCCTGTATAACAAATAGCAATAATATATCTTTAATATATCTTTAATATATATCTTTCAATCAATATAATATCTAGTATAATAATATATATAATAATAAGTAAATATAATATCTTTCAATAAATATAATATATAATATATATATTTTTCAATAAAATATTTTCGAACATAGGTTTACATGAACTTTTTTCATCTATTTGATCTCGGTACAAGTTCGGTCCCAATTTATCTGGACACCTTGTACATATATTACCGCCGATTACCTTTACGAATGAAATTGCTGCTTCTGAGTAATTTTTTAAGACACTCCCATCTATTGATCATCGATCCTAAAAGTATCGCAATTAATAGTCCGCCGATTTTATGCATTCATGGTAGAAACGAGTAGCTAAAAAACACGATTGTGAAGACGGTACGAACAACTTAATAATATTGTGTTACGCTATTTTCACCTTATCGAAACAATTAAAACGAATGATTTATTTTTATTTAATTTCCGTCCTTCGCAATCGCCATGGAAAATGTTTACCCTCGCAGAAAGATCGGCAGTCGAGTAATTAAACAGCGACAGAAATTGCTCGGTGTAACGCCGAGGAAAAACGTGTAACGAAGGATCCAGTCGATCGCTTATTTGATCAAGTTAGTCGTGTACATTTGCGGAACATGGCCGGCACGAACACGCCGACAGAATCCGTGTCGATAGCGAGACTGGTATCGTTCTCTTTGAATGGATTTGGCAAGCGCGGCCGCAGATCAAGCGTCGGTGCAACCGGTTAATAAAGAATGTAAAGCTGGATGTGTGTGTGTGTGTGTGTGTGTGTGTGTGTGTGTGTGTGTGTGTGTGTGTGTGTGTGTGTGTGTGTGTGTGTGTGTGTGTGTGTGTGTGTGTGTGTGTGTGTGTGTGTGTGTGTGTGTGTGTGTGTGTGTGTGTGTGTGTGTGTGTGTGTGTGTGTGTGTGTGTGTGTGTGTGTGTGTGTGTGTGTGTGTGTGTGTGTGTGTGTGTGTGTGTGTGTGTGTGTGTGTGTGTGTGTGTGTGTGTGTGTGTGTGTGTGTGTGTGTGTGTGTGTGTGTGTGTGTGTGTGTGTGTGTGTGTGTGTGTGTGTGTGTGTGTGTGTNTGTGTGTGTGTGTATGCGTGCGCGTTTTTTGCTTCGTTTTCTCCCAGCCGAGACTTTGTTTCCCGGAGAATTGAATTTTGATAGCCCTCAATTTTTTTCAAGCACGCGTTCTACCGAATCGCATTTGGCTATGGCCGTCGCGTCGATCGCCGCGCGTAAATCGACGGGGACAGAAGTTGTATGTATCTCTGCGAATGTAATTGAATTTTAAAAATGCAATACCGAAAACCAAGCTCCACGCTCCGAGGAGCGTGAGGCAGCTTCGAGACCTATAAAACGCAATTATTATGAAATATCGTATCGAGAAATAGCGGGATTCATGGAGCTTGAAGATCTCTCGCCGATTGATCGATGAAAAATGGATGCGGGTTGCTTTCGAATTGTTTGTCCCGCGAGAAATTCACAGCTATTCAAACGGAAGAATAAATGCGCCTGTTTCTCGGTGGAAAGGATGAATTAATTATCTTGGAAGAGAGAGAGAGAGAAAGAGAGAAATGTGTGTGTGTGTGTGTGCTACAGCGCTCTGAATAATTACAAACTCAAAGTAACTTCTACGTGTTTCACAGATATTTAAACAAAAATCAAGAAAAAACTATATTCGTATATTTCTATATTAGAAATAGTAGAAAATAAAAATGTACAATCATGATATACCGTTAAGCTTTTGTTTAAATATCACTAAAAGTGTAAAAGTTACTTTGAGACCATGATTATTCACACCAGTAACTAGAAAAGACACAGTAACCGACACACGGTTACACAAAAAGTGCGATATAGGTAGACAAAAGTTATTTAATTCGTCGAAAACTCCGGGCGTCACTTTAATGGGCACAGTAATTGATAGGTTTGAGATTGATGGTTTTGAAACAGTTACTACTAAGGGTAGAAAGTTTTCTACCTTCGATTTTGGGTAAAATGCGAGCAACGACGCGACCCGCGTCCCGAATGTCAGCGCAATATCGACGGCCATCATTTCGTGTAGTAGATAAAGGACATTTTTTGCGTGATAGGAGGGCTGCGAAAAGGTTAATCGACGAGATCGCCGCGCAAGAAGCCCAGAAATCGAGGAAAGCGAGTTACGGGTCCTGTAACTTCCTCCCTCGCGGAAGAAAAGTGGATTTCCTGCAGGGGTGGGAACGGCGGCGCCACTGAAAATGACCTTGATCATTGAATTTTCTTGCCGGAGAGACCGTTTGATCGTACTCGCCGACCCCCGCCGTTCGAAATAAAATTATACGGGGACCGAGTGGCCGGCCATTTTGCCTCCTATCAAAGATTTCTGCTCGAAGTCGGCTTCTGATACGATTTCCTTCGTCTCCCCTTGCCGACCGAACGGCCCATGCCGCAAGGAGCACGCCTGTAATTTCTTTATCGCGAGAATCGGAATCACTTTTATCAAGCACTCTGATGTTTCACGGGAGAACCGACTGCAAATCGTATTATAATCTATTTAAACGTTTGTCGGATTCCTAATCGATCATTTCGTCTGGAAAATTCGTCCGATTAAAAGGCCACGACCCCTATGAACGAAAAAGATTGTTTCGCTTCGTTCCCTTCTTTCATTTCATCCCCATGGCGCTTTGCAATTCCAGCAGAAAGACAAATGGATTATTTTCAAATCTTCCAAATAATTTCGTTATTTGATGTAGCAATGCAAAATAACAAATACCAAGTTTTTGTTATAATTGTATTCATTATTGTTAGTTTTAACAGTATTATATTATTACATTATTATTATATTGACAGTGTTTAAACTTACTGTAAACATTTTATTACGATGGTTTAATTCAATTCTAGGTTATGTCGAGGTTCTGTCAAGATTATGTCAAGATTATGTTAGAAATAAAAAGAGGAACTGAAATACTCCAATCACGTAAATGGAGATTTTATGAATCGTTCCCCGAAACTATATAATATCAAATTTAGAAAGAAAAATAATATCTTTCAGAATTTATTTCTATGTTCAAATAAACTTATTTGTTATCTTATTCGAGGTAAATACCATAAATTCCCCCTAATTGTCGCTCAACTTGTACACAAAAATGGACAATTTGGGAAAAGGAGACACGATTATTCGAGTCTCGCGGCTCCTTTTTATAGTCGCCGATTGTCGACAACTGCAAAAAAAAACAAGCTCCTCTCCCCAAATTGTCCACTTCTGTCGAGCGTCAATTAGATAAAGCAGATAACAAATAAGTTTACTTGAAACAATCATACACAGGAATAAATTCTGAAGCATTATTTCAGAAATAACTTATCGTTATTACTAATTTCATTTGTTATCTTCATTTCAAATAAAAACTGCCCGTTAAAATAAAAATTATAATTATTAATAATAGTTATTATAAATTAAATTATAAATAATATAATTTTTATAATCTAATTCATAATAATTAGTTAAAATTGTTGAAATTATGAATTAATCTTGACAAATTAATGTTTTAATAAAGTTATTGGATTCATTTTACGGGCAGTTGTATAAAATATATTATTAATTAAATCGTTAAAAATTGATTTAAAATAATTATTTAATAAATTTGAATATAAAGATGTATTTTAAAAATTGATTATTTTAGTTAATTTAAGCTTAAATTAATTTTTAGTATTTAAAATAAGTAAATAAGTTATATCATTAGTAACTGTTTCAAGTAAAATCATAAATTGATTTTATATTATTATTAATTATAAATTATAAGTTGATTTTATTAACTTAGTGTTATACAAAATTACTATTTAGTAATTATTTTATGGGGGTAAATATATTAAAATCAAATATTAGTAGACGCGTTAGGCAAATTGTTTGCAAAAGGGTCGGTGGAAAATGAATATTCGGATAAACAGGGAACGTTGCGTCAGAGACGAGTGTGTCAAGCAGCAGTCAAAGTGCTAATTGGTTAAAGGGTAAATCACCCCGTAGGAACGCTGTTGATCCCCGAGATCGCTATCGAAGGGGCCTCGAAGCGAGCCCACCGCGTGCGTTCACCTTTCGTCGGTGCATATATAAAGACGCGGATTCACTTTCACTCTCGTTTAGTCGTGTGCCGTTGATATTCGGCGGCTGTGAGCCCGACCAGAGAGCTCTTCGACGGAGAACCCGGACCGTTTCCATTGACCAGTCGAACGAGTCTGCCGACGGATGGCTGACATGAAGGCCTTCGTTCTCGTCTGGTGCCTCGCCGTCGCTACGGCGGACGAAAATGACGGATGGGTTTGGAAAGACAAAACTCGGACCAACGAGGAACGACTCGACGAAGGCAGGTGCGTATATCGCTTCTGGTTCTGGTTTTTCCCTTTCTTCAACCGCTTTCTAAACTCCAGGAAATTGGTTCGGATCGTTGCAATTACAGAGGAAGAATATTCGTGGCTTCGAGCTGTTCTTTAAAGCTAGATTTACGGAGCACGAAGAACAGCTGTTTTTATATCAGTTTGCAAAAGCAACAATGAAACGTTTATTCGGATTTTCAGCAAGTATTATTTTGTAATATTTGCAAAAATAAAGAAATATTTAGTATAAAAAATAAACAAATAATTTAATATATAATATATTTGCACAAATAACTTATAGATGCATCTTTACGATATGAATAATCGTAAATTGAAAAATTCAGCGACCCGCCATTTTGTCGGGTTCCGTAGATCTAGTGTTAACACGATTTTTACCGATCTTTAATATTTATAATTTAATATTTATTATATTTTATTATAATATATAAAAATCTAAGATATTATAATAATTATAATATTTTAGATTTATACCGATTTTTATGCAAAATAAATATTCTCCGAGCTAATTGTAAGAAACTTGAGTCTGTTAAAAATGTCTTTCCTCTTTCAGTCACTTTTATGAGTTGTTCACAGGAGAAAAACGTTCTTCAATTCTTCTAATGCCTTCGTAGTTTAATATTTAACCTAATTGTTTTTATAAAAAAAATGCATAAATTCCGAAGTCTGGCGATGACTATAGTGACAAAAGTCGAGAAGTGATTACGAAGAAAACGTTGAACATAGGAAATAATTTTTATTAAGAATTGTTGAAGGATGTTCTTTAACCCCTTTGGTAAAACGGACAAATAGAAATTATTAAATGGAGTTTTTCGACAGCTGCGGTAGAAATTGTGTTAAAACAATGAATTCTTTAGTCGGCTGAACAGCGTTTAACGAGTTCCATGTGAGCTGTTTCCGAATTGGGCATCGTACGAATATTTTAGTCGGATCACGTTCCGAATAAATCCTCGGATAAGATTTTATCCGAATAGCATTTCGAATATAGTAAATTATTCGAATATGGTTTTATTCGGGCGATTTTTCAAATATAATAACCAAATATAATAACTTTATTCAAATAAAGTTATATTACTTTACTTTATTATTACTTTATTCAAATAAAGTTATACCAAAATAATATATCAAATAAATATTATATTAAAAAGGAATTCAAATAGTTCGTAAATTTTGTTCACAACAATTTCAATTCTGTTAAGCACTCGTTTTCTTAATTTCATTGGAACTTAAAAAGGATTTCTGTTAATTTTTATGTAACATAAGCTTAACTTTAGTTAATCTGCTCTATTAAAAAATGGAACCATGTCCACGTTTATACAGGATGTTAAAAAAAAGAACGCAATCAACATTTATATGGTATATAGGACACGCTGTACTCGGTAAAAACGGCTCAGTAAACACAGGTCGAAAGGTCAACCGTTTCTGAAATACAAACAGTTCTTGCCTACGGTAGATCTCATCGAGAATCAGTCAGTTGGGAATCGGCGATTGTTGATCTTATCAGTATTTACACAGTTACATCAATATTGCACATTTGTTATCAATCGTGACGCTGGCAAACAAAAACGTTTATATCTGAGAAACGGTTGACCTTCCGACCTACGTTTGCCAAGGCTTCTTTACTCAGTACAGCGGATCCTATATGCCGGGTAAATACTGAATGCCTTTGTTTTAACACCCTGTATAAACATATCAAATGAAACCAGAGATATCTTAATTTCATTTTCTAATAATTTCTCGCGTGGCATTGCGTTAAATTGAATTATCTCGCAGATGCACGTTTCTTCGAAAATAAATCGTAAACTGAAGATCGATTTTACAGGCAACAAAATAATATTTAATTGCTTTCATAAGCTCTGAAGAAATTCATCAAATAATCGGAAGACATGAAAGTCCGCAGCAGACGCTGCGCTCGAAGTTTAATTAAAATCTCCAAATAGTAATTAACAAGTTCTGTAAAATGTGAACCGAGGTTTGGTATTTACGCGCGAACTTACTTCGCTCAAAGTTTCAAGGGTTTAGATCAGGGCTCGGAATTAACCGGCACGCATCATGAGGCTCGCGAGAGCTACGCCTCCTGACTGTCGTCGCGCGTTTTGCTCCCCGCGGATCGCCTAAATGCTACACGCGCGTGCGCACACACATATGTTGTTCTTTAATGTTAAATTAATTAATAACTAATGTTAAATAAATAATTAATAAATAATGTTAAATAAATAACATCTGTCTACTCTCAAATGCGGGTTGCATTTGCGCTAAGGAAAAAGTTACTGCAAATGACCTCAGAAACCCCTCATTTCGCCAACGTTATTATGAGACACCCTGTATAAAGCAACGGGCACACGCGCCTAAGATGCTCCGAGCCGAAAGAGGCGACTACGGGAAGCGAGACGCGCAAAGAGGCGTAGCCCTCGCGATCCTCATCTTGCGTGCAGGCTAATTCCGTGCCCTGATTAAAACGAATGAAATATTGAACGAAATATTTCTTAGCCAGATCGAAGCCAAAACTTCGACATAACCTAATTATGATAACTTGTTTCTCTGTTTATTTTGATCGAAGACTGACGGGTTTCGTTTATTTCTTGTCTGAGATGTCACTCGCGACGTTTGAGGCGAGTTTGCACATTCGATTCGTCAAAGGTAGACAATGCATTGCCTCTCTATTTCGTTCAGCGTTCTCTCTGGGTGTTCACTTTTGGAAGAAATGCAGATGAGAACAATATTTACACTTTTCACCGCGGATGTATCGTCTTTGATGCGCATCCGAGGTGCAAAATCTAAACCCTTTGCACTCGAATGGCGACTCTCGGGCGCTACTAAAAATTGTTACACCATTTTTGAAAATAATTGTAACAGTATCAGATTTATTTATACATAAAAAACTGTTGGAAATGCAATTATCATACTTGTCAACAGGCACAATTTCGTATGCACGAATCTCAATAAATCATATAAAATGGAAATATCCCAGAACGCGGAAAACTTGTTTCGGGGATTTTGAATTAAAATAGTTTCGAACGCAAAAGGTTAAAGACAGAAAAATCCAATAATAAAAAAGATGTCCAAATACTTTTTTCCGAGGTGCAAAATCTAAACTCGACTTAACGACCGTGCGATTTCTGTGGTTAAATCATAGGTACCTGGTGAACGAGAACCTGGAAGACTTGGACGAGAGACCTTTGATAGGATTTCGACCACAAAATGGTGGACCTTACGGTCCTAATAGCAGACCCATTGTGCCGGCATCGTATCCTAGCAACAATGGAGTTCTTGTCGGTCCTGGCGGGCCAACTGGCATTGTAAAAAGGTATTTGTATCATCTCGTTGTATTCCAATCCAATAACATCGTTCCTGCGCTCCCGTGGTTCATATTGATACTTTGTAACATATTTACCGGCAATGCATTCCGGCCACGTAACGAGATTGCGCAATATTAAAAATCCAATGTATTTCTGGCCGCACCAAAATGGCCGAACGCGAAACGGAGCCGACTGCGATGCGAAAACGAAGAATGCTCCTTTGTCTGCGATATAGTGCCGCCATTAGGGCGGCACGCCGCCATGACGGTTCGATGAAAACGATTTTCTATGATTTTCGAAAAGTTCCAAGTGTGGAGAATGTTACGTGGAAGCGATATTTCGAAATTCCAGCATTTAGCGAGCGATGGTAATGTTTCAAAAATCTGACTTTATCAGAGAAGAAAGTCATTTTTTTAGGTTATTCTTAAGCTTCTTTTAGGTTATTCTTGGAACTGCGATTTTTGATCTGACGTAAATTTTATGGCGACATTCTAAATAGAGTATTCTGCAATGTGGATTGCAATTTTTTTGATACGTTATTTATTTAACTTTTTGTAAGCATTTGAAGTTGATTTTCTAGGATAGAAATAGCTGTTTCTTCTTCAAAATGTGACTTTTTGCAGGGTTATTATTATTTTCGTAATTAGGAATGCTATATTTTAGGGAATAGTTCCTGGTTTATTAATCAACAATATTTTTTAAATTCAAACATTCCTGTAATTTATCGATGGACAGCAATCGGTGTACTACGAGGATATGTTCCGTATCATTTTTACTTTTAAACAATTAATTTTGTACCATTTTCACGTTTAAAAAATTAATATCGTATCTTTTTTCTTATTCAAAATTTAATTTTGTAGCGTTTTTATTATTAAAAAATTAATTTCGTAGCATTTTTACTTTTAAAGAAATAATTTTGTACCATTTTCACTTAAAAAGACAATTTAATACCATTTTACTATTAACAATTCAATTTTGCTGCTATTAAATAATTAATTTTGTAGTATTTTTACTTCTAAAAAATTAATTTCATACCATTTTTTCTTCTAAAAAATCAATTTTATACCATTTTTACTATTAAAAATTTAATTTCGTTGCATCTCTACTATTAAAAATTTAATCCTGTATCATTTTTACCTTTAAAAAATTAAGCTTCTTACAGCATTTCTACTTTTAAGAAATTAATTACCTACGATTATTACTGTTAAATAAATTAATTTTGTTACAGTTCTGCTTTGAAAAAATTGAAAAACAAATCTGTAGTATCATTTCCACTTCCAAAAAATTGAGAAACAAACCCGAGGCACCATGTCTCCTTTCAAAAAATTAAAAATCAAATTTGAATCTAACATTCATAATCTCTTAGAAAACCACTTAATCCTCTATGTATTAATTACCTATAAAAAGAATGTCACCTCTTACTGAATTTAAATGCTTCGCATCATTGATTCTTTTTTCATAGGATTTCGAACCGTCAAATTGATGCGCACACTAATCATTTAATAGCATTCAAATTGGATACATTTCTGATGTCACAGACCTCCCTACAATAATGGCGGCATAAATAGCGGCTCTGTGGATAGCGGTCTCGTGCCACCTTGGATCAGAAATGATCCCCGATATCGCGACGTCGACGTTTGCAGGTGCAGATACAGCTTCAACTGTCCATCCACCGGTCTGAAATTCGTGAGTTTCGAGACGAGAACTGTTACCACGTTCGACGTTGATATATTCCGACATTTTCCATCATTTTTACTTCCAGGGAAGTTGCTCGAAAGAGAAGAAGTACTGCTGCTTCAGCAGCAGGAAATATCCGGCGCTGGTTAACGGACCCTCCGGAGGAGGCGGAGGGGGAGGATATTACCCTCCGCAACAGGTACACAGAGACATTTATGCAAATTTATTAAATTTCACTCGTCCGTAATATAGAATTCTTCGGGACATTACATTTTACGATTGAACAAACAATTTTTCGCTTGGACAAATATTTTCTTACACATGTAAGAAAACGGAGACCACAACTGTTATAAACAAAGCGAGAAGTAATTGAAGTATAACCGTTCGATTTTTGTTTAAAATGATTTTTCTTACTGACTATTGATTGTAAATAGACTGTCGATTTTATGCATTTATGGTAAAAGTGAGTAGTTGCAATTTGAAATAGTAAAAATATATTTTTAATAAATTATTAGCCTTTTATAGTATATTATATAGTATGTATAATTATCACAGTCTTTAAATTATAGTCTTTTAATAAAATGACTTTTTCGAAATGTCAATGAATTATTGTCAATCTATAGGAATTATTAAAGGAATTATTTTCCATGAAAATCCGCAGTCCAATTATAAATCACTACAATCTTTTTGGTTTCCAATAACCGTTATAAATAACGCCAATAATTTTCCGTTTCGAATGATCATTACAGCTAACGAAAATTGTTTTTTGTTACAAATTACAAAACAAAATTCTGACCGTCGATAATGGTTATTTGTAACCAATACATCATTCCGGTTGCCCGTCGTGGTTTTTCATAACCAAAATTGTTTCCATCTTGCAACCATTCGATTCATTTGCAACCAAGAACTGTTTCCGTCATTTATATTGATTTTTTTTCTAGTCCTTTGTAACAATTAATTAGTAACCGCACGCGTAAAAGTTCATTTTATCTAATCTTTGCACTTGTTTTTAATTTTCTTTGAAATTTAATGTGATTATTAAATATAATATTATATTTATATAATATATAATATAATATAATATAATATATTATAATATAATATAATATAACATAATATAATATAATATAATATAATATAATATAATATAATATAATATAATATAATATAATATATTATAATATAATACAATAATAATATAATAATATATTATAATATCATATATTAAATAATAATTACATTATATAATATTATATTTAATAGTCATAATGATAATGATTAAATAACCTTACTAAGAATCAACTAAAAATCACTTTTTCATCGCTGACATTTTCCGATAAAATTTTCTGACGTAATCGTCGTCTGTGACCTGCGCCAAAAAGTATTATACAAGCATTACGATTACTCCAGTTTCTTTTTCTTTGCGTTCTCAGGGCTACCCGAACAAGTACGGGCCGGCGTCGTTCGTTCAATCGCCGAACTATTACGGAAATCGAAGACCTCCCGGCAATTTTAACGCTGGGAACAGATACCCGGCTGGAAACTACCAATATCCAGGAGAGAACTACAGCCAGTACCCGAGACCTCAGGGGAACCCTTACGGACAAAACTACGACTACGACGATTACGATTTTTACGGGCGATCTTTGAAGAAGAACGGAACGGAAACGAGCTCCGACGAGAAACCTTGAATTCTCTACAGATTTCGTGTATTGGATACTGTTCGAAAAAAGCGACCGAGTTTTTCCATGAAAAGCCAAAGCGATGATTATTCTCGGACGGTAAATTAGCTCGTCGTTTGCGCGCCAGATCGCATTCATCTCTTATTTATTTCTGTAAGAATTTTTATATACGTATATTAAGCGCGTCGATGGAGAATCGATTCGCTTTTGTTGTTCAGGTTTGTTACCGGAAACGCGTCAGCTTCTTTTTATTCATTTTTAGCACTTAGTTTGCCGTGACATTTACATTAAGATCCCTGGGAAAAAAGTATTTGAACAGCTTTTAAAACAGAATAATATTTTGAAACTCGACTGAATGATTTGAATTTTTTGGAGACGTTAGTTTACTGTACGATGACTAAAATACCTTCTTTTTTAATTTTGCTGTTACTTGGAGTGATGGTAAAGATAAACAATTGCGTTTCTTCGACTTTTTTATTGGAGACTGTAACGAAAATTTGAGAAATTTATTTCGTGTATCTAAGTAAATATTACTAATAGTATATATATTGCATATAACTTATATTTCTTATGATTAACGTAGACCATTTTTATTTTGCATAAAATTCCACAGTCTACTTTTATACGCATATTGAAAATTTGATTGAAATCCGTTAACGTTGTTGGAAGTTGTTAACATTTAAATACCGTTCAAAGTTCGCGAAAATTAGCTGATTTTCACGAATTTCGAGGAAAAACGCTTTAAATGATTTTAATGAATAGATAACGAATATTATATATCTTATTGTTTATATATATAATATATTATAATATATATATAATATAATATTATATATATATAATATATTTATATACTTAAAAATTGTTATATGCAGTAAGTAAACATAATATCAGAACATAACATTAACCCTTTGCACTCGAATGGCGACTCTCGGGCGTCACTGAAAACTGTCACACCATTTTTGAAAATTATTATAACAGTATCAGATTTATTTTTACATAAAAAACTGTTGAAAATGCAATTATCGTACTTGTCAACAGGCACAATTTCGTATGCACGAATCTCAATAAATCATATAAAACGGAAATACCCCAGATCGAAAAACTTGTTTCGGATTTTAAATTAAAATAGTTTCGAACGCAAAAGGTTAAAGACAGAAAAATCCAGCAATAAAAAAGATGTCCAAATACTTTTTTCCGAGGGTAGTAGAATGACTCACTCGTCGAACTGAAGTTAGAAATAATTCATAATCCATGAAATAGGGACTGCGACGATTGTCGAATTTGAAAAAGCAAATTTTCTTCGTAGCTTGAAGAAAACACCAAAGAACGGCGCATTCGATATGAATTCGCATTCGAATGGATTACAAACAATTCATTCAGTGTAAAAATGATTGCCAATAAAGGAAATCGAAGAATCGCTCGCCGTAAATACTCACCGATCGTTGTAATCACCACGATCGAGTAAAATAATGCACCGGCGAACGTCCATTGAATGTCGTCCTCTCCCTCTCTGCCATCCCAGCCCTCCTTCTCCATCATCCACACCAGATTGTTCTCGAAAGTCTGCGGAAAGAATAGTCGACGAGATAGGAAACAAAATTCTGATATGGTACAGCAAATTCTCTCCAATTGTCCCTGAGCTTGTACGCAAAAATGGACAACTTGGGAAAGGGGGATACGATTAGTCGAATCACTCCGTTCGTCGCTAATATTCTCTACACGTTTGCCGAGGATTTATAGTACCGATAATCCGTCGAAATCCAGCTAACGCGATTATCTCCAATTTGGCGGAACCGGATGGAACGTGGAAGGCGGAGCGTTTCAGCGCGAACTCCGTGGAAGTCGAACGCTTAGATTGAACATGTGTGCCTTTTCGAACTGTCCACAGTCCACAGTCAAGCGAACGATGTTTTTTTTCACGAACGAGGCGGCCTTAATGTAGCAATACTTAGAAATCTGCGGGATCGTCGCTAAACGATACAGAGGATGGCTCAAAACTAGCGTAACAAACGACAATACGATTCCGAAGCTCGATGCCAGCGGAGAAGTCCACTCTAATTGTAAAACCACCGCGTCGTTTGTGAACCCGCGGATTAACGTTGCATAAAGTAATAATTGGAGTTTCGCAACATGCGTTATTTTTATATTTAACTTTTACCAGAGCCGTGTCTCCTGGAAAAAGTAACTTCCGCTGCAACTGCAGTAAATTCTCCCCGATTGGCGCTCGGATTGTGCACGAAATTGGACGATTTAGGAAGAGGAGACACGATTGTTCGAGCCTCGCTGCTCGTTTTTATAGAGTTGCCGATTGTCAAGAATTATAAAAATGAGGTACAGGGCTTAAATAGTTGTGTCTCTTCTTCCCAAATTGTCCATTTTTGCGTACAATTTGTGCGTCAATTCGGGAGGATTTACTGTGATTACAGGGTTGAACGCGATTTACGGTTCTAGCTCTATTTTTCCTGTTCCAGTCAACAGAAAATTATCTAAAAAATCATGAGGCTCCTCTCCTCTTAGATACACATTCGAGAATTTTTCCAGAATTTTCGATCGCAAAACCGATTTTTAAAAAGTCAATATACGTTTAAATTGCCGATTTTATGCTGAAATAGCAAAGCGACCACTTTTATGTTACAAGATTACAACAAATTTTACGTCGTATCACATTGTTGTAAATCGCGTTGTACGAGAAATCGTGTTACAGTCGATTCTCCCGAATTGTCTCTCGGCTTGGAAACAAAAATGGACAACTAGAAAAGAGGAGACACGATTATTCGAACCTCGCTGCTCATTATTATAGTCGTCGACAATCGGTAACTATAAAAATAATTCTCTTCCTCCCAAATTGTCCACTTTTGTGTACAATCCGAGCGTCAATTAGGGAGAATTTACCGTACTCGTAAATCAATCTCATTACCTTCAGCTGCCATAACGCTCTGTCCGTCCAATTCTCGCGAATCAAGACGTCCCCATCGTTCGTGATCTTCCATAGTTGCTCCGCCACGTCTCTTCTGATGTCCTTGATGCTGTTCCTTATCTGGAACGTGAAAATGTACCATCAAGCAGTGTTGCATTATTTATGGGGGTAATTTCGTCGTGAGAATCCCGCGAAGATAAATTACGTACGTTTCGGGTCAACTGATATTCATGTTCGCAAACTTTTACAATGTAGTTTTCTTGCCGTTTCGGTAAGCATGATTCAGCTGGCGACAGAAATGAAATGATCACTAAACTATACGATCCTTGGGTTTTTATTACCCCATGCATAATCAGTTGTTTTCTTTTGCAATCAAATATTCCACCTCGCTAATGGTTCTTTTTAAATTCTTGAAAAAACATTGTTTATACTCTCATTAATATTCGGACACTTTTTTGAAACTGGATTAAACGATTTGAATTTTATTTTTTTTTAGATGATAGAGGGACTGGTATACTACTAGTAGATTACAGCAAGGTGCACGAAAATAACAATAGCAAAGATACTAAATGAATTTGGGATTTGTGAAATTCATCGAAAGAAGAAATTCATTGAACTTGTGTCTGTTGCAATGAATTTGGAAGATTTTTATTTTGAATATTGTTGACTGAAAAATTGAAAATGTTGCAACTATCTTCTACTTGTTCCAGCATTAATTCAATTAATTAATTAATTAAATTAATTTCAACTGTGCAATTTCAATTGCAGAACAAAAATGAAATATACTTGATATTATACCTTAATATTCTGCTATTAAAATAATATTAATATTCTGCTACTCTACTATACATTTGAAACTCGCTTGATTTTGACAATAGAAAAAAAAGTGTCAGACAAAAGTTTGATTTCAAGGGGCACATAATGAGATATCAATAATTTTTTTATAGGTGGAGGCTTAGAGGACATACGAAGGTCAAACTTGTTTCTTTAAATGGAATGCCCTAATTCTTTATTCACGTTCTGATAAAGCCTTTTAAATTATACATTTCATAAAGGTATCGCATTTAACACTATTTCTATCGAAGGTGTCGAAAGAGGCACCTTTCAATCATTTCGACTTAAGACTACTTTTATCGAAGGGGTTAAAGAACATCTTTCAATATACTTTTAATAAAACTTATTTCTCTTGTTCTATGTTTTCTATGTAATACAAATTATCGGTATAATAAACAAACCATCGGTAAAAATGTCGTTAAATAAAATACGAAGAAAATCAGTCCTGTTCAGTATAATTGCAGTAAATTATACGCTTCTCAGAGAGATGGCGACAGCTAAAACAACAGAGGGATTTTGATATTTGTATACTAAACTAACAAACAAATTCGTAAAGTGTTTTCTCCCGCTAGACAGATCGTTGTAAACTAATGCCCGGCGTTCGTAGGAGACCGGAAACATAAACACAGCTGCGGCTTGCTTCAATTACGCATTCCTATGTTCGAGATTATGAAGTGAAACATGCACTCTGTAGATTACAAAATGAAACCGAAATAAATAAGTGACAATTATATAATATGCGAATAATAAAAAAATCCATGTGTAATGGATCCATCTCCACAAATAAATTTTATAGGTGCAGTTTATGATAATATTTTTATTGTTTTTTTATTTTCATTTTTATTTTCAATTTTATAATTATAATAATATTTTTACTTGCAACAAATGTTTATTAATTTTAATATTACCGACGATGCTACTACCAAAGGAGTTAAAACGACTTGTATCTTAAACTAACAAGTCCTTTAATCCCTTGACCTACGACTTCCTTTTAACTTTAACACTAATTTCAACTTCTTTGTCGTCAATAAATTCTTACAACGGTAAGAAAATGTATACTTATTGTGTGTTTGCACTAACTCTAGTATTGATAAGAGTATTGATAAGAGATAAAAATTAAATCTTATTTCGTTTTAAAATAGATGAACGGTAAATTCTGTTCGAAATCGTCGAGGTCGACGAGTTGGACACGATGTTATAGTGCAAGGGATTAAGAAAAGACGTAACATTTCACGCGCTTTTATACAGGATATCCCAAAAATGTCTCTCGATCTAGAAATGAGGGGTTCCTGAGGTATAATATATCGACTATTTATTATTGATTTTTGTATGTTTCATAAATGTTATGTAATCCTGAGGTCATTTGAAGTAATTTTTTCCTTAGCGAAAATGCAATCCGCGGCTTCGTTTACAAATTATTAACGAAAAACGGTGACCAATGAGACGCGAGATCAACCGACGCGAGGCGGCCTAGTCAATGAGAGGAAATGGGCTTAGTGCGCTCGTTGGCTCGGCCGCCACGCGCTAGCCGAGCTCGTCTCTCATTGGTCAGTGTTTTTCGTTCATAGCTCATAAACAAAGCCGCGGATTGCATTTTCGCTAAGGAAAAAGTTACTTCAAATGACCTCAGGAACCTCCCATTTCCAGATCGCGAGTTGCTTTTGGGATACAGAATTTTGGAACTCAGCTTTTGATACAAAATTATGCATTCTTCCCTGTCCGCTATCTTGACATAACGTGCTTCTGCAACATGGAAAGCAGCACTGATTGATTAACATCAAATAAAATCGTTTTGTAAAGTTGTTATTGAACTGTCAGTCTGAAACGAGTTGCAATTCTTTTCATAATTTATGGTTGCATACTCTATTGATATAGTGAATAATTATATAATAATTATAGACTCGGATTGATTTTTACAATTTTAGTGATATTTGAGCAAAAACTTTACAATTGTATATTTCTATAGTAGAAATAATAAAAAAATAGCTTCTAACGTAGTTACAGCTGTTCAAAGATTGACAATATTTCGGCAAAAAATTAGCGATGCGTTAATTTTGCTGTTTAGTGTACTTCTTTTTTGGTTTTCGTTTAAATATCAATAAAAATGCAAAAGTTTCTTCGAATTTATAATTATTCACAGCACTGTAGGTGGTTTCCTTTAGCTGAGACACCCTGTATATAACAGGTATATGTACAGGGTGTCTCAAAAATCTCTCGCGGTGTATATATACAAGGTGTCTCAAAAATGTCTCGCTATGTACATATACAGGGTGTCTCAAAAATGTCTCGCGGTGTATATATACAGGGTGTCTCAAAAATGTCTCGCGGTGTATATATACAGGGTATCTCAAAAATGTCTCGCATATATATGCGAAACAATACATTAGAATAAATATATATATTTACATTTTTATATTATTTTCTTAACCTCGACTTCTCAAGTTACCACATAATTTCGTTAAACAATTTGATTTCTTCTAAGTATGACACAACTTTTGCTGTTTGTTTGTAGTTATCCAAACATTCTTCGATGGTATTGGACATTTTTTCTTTTTTTTTTTGATATTGTTGTACACTGAACATTCTATTGNTACAGGGTGTCTCAAAAATGTCTCGCGGTGTATATATACAGGGTATCTCAAAAATGTCTCGCATATATATGCGAAACAATACATTAGAATAAATATATATATTTACATTTTTATATTATTTTCTTAACCTCGACTTCTCAAGTTACCACATAATTTCGTTAAACAATTTGATTTCTTCTAAGTATGACACAACTTTTGCTGTTTGTTTGCAGTTGGATATTGGACATTTTTACTTCTTCTCTGACATCGTTGTACACCAGACATTCTATCAGAATGTGCTTAACTTAACTTATCAGTTTCAATTCTTAACCCATTAACTGCTATCAATCAGATGCGACATCGAATAAATAAAATTACAAAACAAAAACAAAGAGAAAAGATCGTAATAATTATTCATGGCGCAGCGTGCGATGTTAAAAAGTGTGGACCTCTTTCTCGTGCGCCGCCTCGAGCGCTTCGAACGCATAGGCGCCGATGACGCAGTACAACACGACCAGCGAGATCAGGAACACGTGGGAGAAAACGCATCTGAAGAATTTCCAGAGGAACCGGAGGAACCTGATGCACTTAGACGGTTTCTCGGCCTCCACCATTAGATCGAACGCTTCCGGTCGTGGCCGCGGCATCCTGGTTTCCGGTCCGAACCGCCGAGCCTTAAATTTCTTTTCCCGGCCACTCCATGCACCTTTTCTTCCCCCCTCCAATTCTCTCTACACTCGATCACTTAATCGACGCATCTTGAAAGTTCTCTAAAAAACATTCCCTCTTGTCGAAGCGAACGAGCGCAAGGCGCGTACAGTTTTCACGTTCGGTCGCGCCGCCATCGATTTCATGGCTGATTATTAATATTTCGCTCGTCGCCGTGGAGTTTTCCGTGGCCGGAGGCGATCGTTGGAATCGTTGGAATTCGTTTCCGGGATCGGTTCAGCGTTTTTTAAGAACGAATATATACCGACTCGTCAGATTTGACGTCGCGACGGCGACGTGCGAGAAACCATTCTCGACGCGAAACTGCCACGGATACGTGAAACACAGCCGTGTTTCGTCCGAGATGAGTGTTCCAAAATTATCCCGACTCTGCCACTGGCGAAATTTCATTCCGAGCCGAGCATTTGCCGGTGGTCCACCTACGACGGACCGAAAACTACTGGTTTCTTATCCGCGGTTGGTCTGCACGGGCCTCTCTGCCCGCGCCGCGTCCCTCGACTGTGGAAAATAAACACGTCTATTCCTTGGTTTCTCCAAGCGCTGCGTCTCCATAATTAGCTGAATTATCAGTGGGAGAGATAGAAAGAAAAAGAAATAAAAGAAGAGGGGGAGAGAAATGAAGAGAAAGAAAAATAAAGGGTCAGAGAAGTAAAGAAAAAGAAAGGGAGAGAAATAAAGAGAGAGGAAGAGAAATAAAGAGAAAGAGAGAGAAATAAATTGAAAGAGAAATAAAGAGAGAGAGAGAAATAAGAAGAAAGAAAAATAAAGAGAGAGAGAAATAAAGAAAGAGAAAGAGAAATAAGAAGAAAGAAAAATAAAGAGAGAGAGAAATAAGAAGAAAGAAAAGTAAAGAAAAAAAAAGAAGGAAAGAGAAATAAGAAGAAAGAAAAATAAAGAGAGAGAGAGAAAAGTAAAGAAAAAGAAACAGAGAGAAATAAAGAGAAAGAGAAATAAACAGAGAGAGAAATAAACAGAGAGAAGTGAAGAAAAAGAAACAGAGAGAGGGAGTAATAAAGAGAGTGAGAAAAATAAAGAAAGAGAAAGAGAGAAATAAAGAGTGAGAGAGAGGGGGAAATGGACACTGTAAATATTATTATCACAATATACAAATATTATTATATATCAGACATGTATTAAAATCATTTTAAAAAAATCGAATTTTCTTCCAAATTTCCTTATACATGTACAGAGTGAGTCACTTAGTCCCCACGATTTTTCAATCCCTTCCCATAGTCTGACAAAAAAATGTTTCCTATCGAAGTTAATCAGTATTTAAACGACAAAAAATTACAATTATTTAAATTTAAGAACAAATTTCAACTGCATAGTATTGTAGGCGACGTCGAGACGAATTCAACGACCTGCTACATGATGACCTTCAGATGATATTGAAGGAAAAATTGCCGTGAATCGATTGCCAAAATTATTATATAATATTATATAATTATATAAATTTTTCTTTTGTTTCATGCGTTGAGGTCTGAAATTGAACAAATGAGCATTTGTAATGTTCACGTTTTGTTTTTGTTTATGTTTACATTCGAGGCCTTGTTGTTATGTATGGACGAATTATTTTAAATATTGTGATCATCGATTCATAGCGATTTTTCCTTCAATATCGTCTAGAGATTATCAAAAAAATTAAATTTTTTAAACTAGTATTAATGCAAGCAGTCGAAAATTCCTACGAGAAGACACTCGTAATGTAATCGATCGTTATGTAATACATCGATTCGGAGTAATAACCCTTAAAATTTTTGCGCGAGTTTGAGATCATGATTTAGTGATTTTTCGTGATTACCCAATTTTAAATTAATTGAAATTTCTATTAAAAGTCTATTACGATTTAAGATTTCTATTTAAGTTCCTATTAAAAGTATTTTAAAATTTTAACCTCCATTAAAAATCTATTAAAATTTTAAATTTCTATTTAAATTTCCATTTAAAGAAATTCATTATAATTTGAATTTCCAATAAATTTATTTCAATTTAAAGTTCATATTTAAAATTCTATCAAAGATCCATTACTTTTGTGATTGGAAATTCTAGAAGAAATCACTAGCAATGTACTTACACAAATTTTTCACGTATCTAAATTGTAATTAATTAATTATTAAAAAATTTCAGTTTTATGCTTTAATATTGAAATAATAAAAAATAAAATAGACAGCAAATGATTCGTGCCGCCTTATCCATAAGGTGCAATGTAAAATCTGACACGAATTATCTGTTGCTTTCAAACGTTCGAATAGCATCAATTCTTCCAGTGACAAAAGTCTCAAACCGTTCGCCTAAATTATCGACAATGGTAACATCGACTGTGCTAAAGATGGCGCGACAGTGTAAATACCATGAAAATGTCAAAACAGCGCCATTACACGTAGTGACAAAACGCTAAAACTGTAGACAAATTACCGCAAGGAGATAATCTTGAGGTTTGAAAATTACCGACAGATCACGCCACCAGTTTAATGCCACCTGTATCGAAATAGAATAATAATTTGTCGGTAACTTTGACGAACAGTTTGAGCATTTTACCACTATGTGTATTGGCGCTGTTTTATATCTTCAGGGGCTTATGATTCATGCTGGAATTTACATTTTACCATATGGGAACAGCAATAAGAATCACGCATACCCCATATTTGCAATAACAAATAAACTGCTTCTGTGCGATACGAATTCATGAAATATTCTCAAAATATTTGTTTACGTAAACATAACCTTAAATTGTTGTAATTCATCGTATATTCTATTCGGTGATATTGTTTCATGATGCATGCAAGGACTATTTTTTGAAAAACCGTAAATAGCGGTAATTATAACAATCTTACACATAGGATCGATGCACGGAATCATTATGAATAAGTCGAGACCAGAAATGTTAATTTTGAAACAGTGCTTCACAATTTCTTTAAAAAACGCTCGTTCCTAGATCATGACTCACTATCACCGCGTAGCGGCAAACGCCCGAACTAAATCGTAAAATGCGAATTAATGCATCTCGTATAATGTAGAATGCGTGGCGCCGGAAAACATTAATTATGGCATAATTAGTGCACAAAAAGGCAACCGAACGTACAGAACTATTGAGAAAAGTTTTCTGAACCGATATCATATGAAGAAACCGGATGCCAACGTTGCAGTATTTAATTAATTAACATAACAGTTAATGAAACTTTGAAAAGCTATTAATAATATTTCGCATTGTTATTATCTGTTTATGTTATGCGATATCGACGCAGTAGACTCTCCTCAGTAATTCGGTGCCTTTGGTTTACTATTTTATGCTCTAATTACGCCAATATTAATGTTTTTCGACGACCATGCATTCCGCATATTGCGGAGAATTAATTCGGGCGTTCACCGCTATGCGGCGCTAGTGTTTCGGTGCCCGTGGAGCAGCTCGTTTTCAAAACATCAAATTAGCTATAACCGTGGCAATACTGTATATTGTATATAATATTGTATATATAATATTATAATTATTATTAATATATTATTAACATTATAATTATAATATTATATATTATAATATTGTATATTGTATATTGTTTAATGCGTCAAAGGATCAGCTGTATTTTGCGACAAATTGCATTAATTTTTGAGCAGACGATTGTATTATAATATAATAATATAATATAATATTTGTTTCTTCAATTTTATATTTCCATTTGAAATTCATTTCAATGATAGCAAAAAAAACGCGTTACTGCCTT